CTTGCACAATGTATCACAAAACCGACACATATTGATTTGCATCATGTTCCGTCACTGCTGGACCTCGCCCTCACCCACCACTCTGAGGATGTCTTTGATATCCAGCATCTTCCTCCACTAGTGAACAGTGATCACGTTGTAATTCACTTTAAGTTTAGGACACATGGTATACAATTCGTATCTGCTCCACCCCGTCCCAATATCTGGCGAGCTAATATTCCGGAAATCAGAAACCGTGCTATCTCGACCGATTGGTCGGTCGACGCGTATGGATTGATCGAAGATGAATGGAATAAGTTTAAGGCTACATTCGAGTCCGTAACGTCGCCGTTTATCCCATGGTCAGCACGTAAGCTATCACATTGCCCTCCATGGATTAATAAGGAAACCCGGAAGCTGTTAAAGCGTAGGAAACATTTCTGGGACTTATTCTTGTTGACAGGTCATGCACCATTTAAGCGTGAGTATCAAAATTACCGTAATATCTGTAAGAAAACCATAGCGAAATCCCGTACCACTTACGAACGACAGTTAGTATATGATAGCCGTACTTGTCCGAAACGATTGTTTTCGTATGTTAAACGGCAAATGAAACGTAGTGATGGTATTCCCCCGTTGCTGTTACACGAAAATTCAGAATTACTAGCTGAATCAGATCGAGCAAAAGCTGAGACTTTTTCAGATTATTTTAGCGAAGTCTTCTCTACGTTTATTGTAACAAATACTTGTCCCACTCACACCGAGATACCAACCATTGAATCCGTACAGGTGACTGAGGAAACTGTCCTTCCGTTGATAACTAACCTCAAACCTGGTAAGATACCGGGCCCTGACTGGTTACATCCACGGTTGCTGTCATCTCTTGCGGACATTATTTCGAAACCGCTTGCGACACTCTTCAACATGTCCCTCTCACTCGCCCAACTCCCTAGAGATTGGAAGGACGCTATAGTTAGTCCTATATTTAAGGACGGTCAGAGACATATAGTATCTAACTACCGGCCTGTCAGTCTAACTAGCATAGTCGTTAAGCTACTCGAAAAGATAATTCGGGTTAGGTTGCTAAGCCACATAGATTTACACAATCTGTTAGCTCCTGAGCAACACGGATTTCGTAACAAGTGTTCATGCTTGACTAACTTGCTTATTGCGAGGGAGGATTGGACAGCAGCCCTAGATCACGGTCTGTCTGTCGACGTGATATTCATAGATTTTAGCAAAGCGTTTGACAAGGTTTCACACGTAGGTCTTATGCAGAAGCTCACGAGCTTCGGAATTATAGGTACTGTACATGAGTGGATAGGAAATTTCTTATGTGACCGCAGACAGAGAGTTAGGGTCAATGGAACGCTATCCGATTGGAAGCCGGTCAAAAGTGGTGTACCCCAAGGCACCATCTTAGGCCCTCTGCTCTTCCTTCTCTACGTTAATGAGTTACCACTGTTACTTAGGTCGTCGACATTATTGTTTGCAGATGATGTAAAAATCTGGAGAACAATAAAAAGTGCGGCTGATCATGTGGATCTTCAAGCTGATTTAGACGATTTAGTTAGATGGTCTCGAGAGTGGGGCTTAGAAATTAATGCTAGGAAGAGTGTACTAATGCACGTCGGTCACGGTAATAGTTACCGTTACACTATTGAGGGTAAACCTCTTCCATGCGTTCAAGAGCATAAGGACTTAGGAGTAATATTAAGTCATGACCTAAAAACAACTGCGCATTGCAAAGCAGCCGCTGTCAAAGGTTTTCGTGCGTTATGTTCACTTCGCCGAGCGTTCAAATCTTTTGACGAGGAAACGTTTCGAATTTTATACCCCATATATGTTAGACCACATTTAGAGTACTGTATCCAAGCAGCTAGCCCGTGTCTAGTAAAGGATACTAACTCCCTTGAGCGTGTCCAGCGTGTGGGAACGAATTTAGTGAAGGGTCTTTCTAGTCTCCCTTACGATGAGCGTTTAAAACGCCTAAATCTTTTCCCCTTGTCGTATCGTAGGACACGAGGTGACCTTATACTGGCATTTCGTATCTTTAATTATGATTTGGGTGTAAATATGTCTTATCTTTTTGCTCCCTCCAGCACTAATAATCTCCGAGGTCATAGCAAGAAGGTTCATAAACCACGATCTAATAAACTTAAAGTGGGATCCCGTTTTTCTCATCGAGTAGTCAATGATTGGAACGCCTTACCCGAACAAGTGGTATCAGCCCCATCAGTGAATACTTTCAAGGAAAAGCTGGACCTTCATTGGAAAGCAATGTGTCAGGATTAACACAGGTTCATCAACCTACTATCCTTATTACTGAAGACTGAAGACTGAAGACTGAAGGAGGGCAGAGGTTCGAGTGCGTGTGGGGCCTGCGTTTTTGTTCACCAGACCCACCTTCAATACGATGATTGTTGCCCATAATTCGCGCACATATGAGAGAAAAAATGACAAGAGGACAGATGGATATATCAAAGTGCCATATTGGAAAAGTATAAGTTCTTTGTTTACATGAATATTATTACTATAGGAAAAAAAACTACAAGTTTAGTAAATTTCCATTTTACGTTATTTTTAAACCAAAGAATATATATATATATATATATATATATCAGTTATTGACATAAAATGTCTTTTTTATAACGCTAATGTTAAGTTCCAGGACTTTGTATGATCCACTATTAATACTGGTTTAACGTTAGCATAGTCGTGATATTCATATTGTCAGTCCAATTTTATGATTACTTAACAGTTCCTCTATAAGTTGTGTTAAAAGTTAGGTATGTGGAATCAATGCGGCTAACAAAGTAACCTTACAGTAACGCACTGTACTATATCTTCACGGTTATTGATTCTTAAATGTCAGAAATTTAAAAAAATCTGAATATTGCCAATAATGATGGGTTATATGATCACACTAAAAAGGATGCTGCAGGAAAACTGGTTAAGTCATTGCGTAAGTTTCCTAAACATGAAAAAAATGATGAGAACTTTAATATGTACTTGACCATGGTTTAATCCAAAATGTTTTGTCTAGAAAACTACTTATTAATAGTAGTATTAATCGTATCAAGCTACTAAACATATCCTCAACCGAAAACTTTTAGAAGTAGTTCATATGGTATATATGTATAGCCAGTCTACGTGAAAAATGTATATAAATATATAAGAAGTACAGCCAACATAGTTAATTAACCAGAAAAAGAATTTATAAATCTCGCCTGGGTTGCTTTTTGAATTCGTAGTATTTGCCAGTGTTAGTTGTATGAGTTTAATTAAAATCCGCAGCTATCGTTTCGGAATACCTAGCTTATGTGTCCAGTATTTAAAAAAGAAAATTTAACATAACACTTATATATCAATGGCAAAAGGTCTGGGGAGTTGTAGTTGAGGCGGAATGGGAAAAAATTTTTTTTAGTAGATGCAGGGTCTGATTAGCTACGTGGTCAGATTTTATCTTGCAGCCGAAACTGTCAACATCCTTGACTGACTAATTGGGTGTGCCCAGCGAACCGTTTTAGTCATTTGTAAAGATTTATCTTCTTTACGTTTCGATTCCGTGATGGATTTGTCAGTTAAACGATCTAACAACACGTATGGTGGTTCATGATCTAGATAAGCCGGCTTTAGCCTATCAATACTTACTGTGTCGATGTTTCCATGTTTTTTTATCACGAAATATTTAGATTTTCTTGAGACGACTTTGAAAGGACCTTCAATTGGAGGACTGAGTGGTGCTTTTATTTTGTCACATCTTATCCAGACGTGCGTGCAATTGCTTAGGTCTTTAGTTATATATACGGCGCGCGATTGTTCACGAGTATTAATCGGCTTAATTTTAGACATGTGGTCCCGTAGTTGATCCACATAATTTTCTAAATCAGTTTTTTGACTGTTAGTATTAGGGTTAATAAATTCACCTGGTAGTCTCAGAGTTTTTCCGAAAACCAGTTCCGCAGCTGAACACTGTGCGTCAGTTTTGACAGATGTTCGTATTCCCAACATAACTAACGGTAGGAATTCTGTCCACTGATTGGGGTTTGAGTGAGATATAAGGGCGGTTTTTAGCTGTCGGTGAAAACGCTCTACCATCCCATTAGCCTGAGGATGATATGCAGTGCAGCGTATCCTATTGGAGCCTAGAAGTTTAGCCAAGTTATTAAACAGTTCGGATTCGAATTGCGCTCCTCTATC